TGATGCACACCTTCCGAGCTGATGGTGCCCGGCTATCAAAAGATACAGCGTCTGGGGTCTTAAAGGCTTGAAGGTAAATAAGCATCTAGCTGAGAAGCAACAAAGTCCACATGGAAGAAGCACACCAGCCTGTGTGATCATGAGGTGTCAAAGGGATTAGATATCAGGCATCATAGAACAAAAAAACCATATCATTGTGAATCAGGGGGAGTGTAGAGTGGGGACCCCAAACACATCTGTAGGCAACTGGACATCTGCTTACAGAAGGGTCACGGGGAGGAGAAGAGCCAGTCAGGGTTCAGGGTAGCAATGATGAAACATACAACTTTCCTCTAGTTCTTAAATGCTTACTCCCCCCTCCCTTCCCCCACTATCATGATCCCAATTCTACCTTACAAACCTGGCTAGACCAGAGGATGTACACTGGTACAGATAGGAACTGGAAACACAGGGAATCCAGGACAGAGAATCTCTTCAGGACCAGTCGTGAGAGTGGCGATATGGGGAGGGTGGAGGGAAGGTGGGGTGGAAAGGAGGAACCGATTTTAAGGATCTACATATACAGTAACTGCCTCCATAGGGTATGGACAACAGAATAGAGGGTGAAGGGAGACATCAGTGTAAGATATGATAAAATAATAATAATTTATAAATTATCAAGCGTTCATGAGGGAGGGGGAAGCGGGGAGGGAGGGGGAAAAACGAGGAGCTAATATCAAGGGCTCAAGTAGAAAGAATATGTTTTGAGAATGATGATGGCAAGAAATGTACAAATGTGCTTGGCACAATGGATGGATGTACAGATTGAGATAAGAGTTGTATGAGCCCCCAATAAAATGTTGTTTGTTTTTTTTAATTAATGCTAGACTGCTACTTTTTAGTTAAAACGAATAGTATGTTCATATAGAAGACTAAATCAGTAAATTGCTTTCTTTTAAAAGGTAGCTAATTGTTCTTATCATTTAACAGTTAAATTTTTAGTCAAAATATAAAAAAGACAAATAACCCAGTTCAGAGATATTTACAATTCTGTCTCAATTTGGTGGGATTAAAAATATTGTTATAATACGCATAACATTTCTCCAGTAATAATAATTCAAAGCTGTGTTATCAAGGAAGGATTTTCTTGGTTGTTTTAGCTTTTATGATTATGGGTAAAAACTACCTAAAACTATAACTACTTTTTTTCTACTCCAGCAAAACACATTTATTTAAATTTTATTGTTATCAACTCAAATTTCAACTCATAGCTATATCGTGTGTGTGTGTGTGTGTGTGTGTGTGTGTGTGTGTGTGTGTCAGTCTGGGTGAACTAGAGGAACAAATGCAGAGATATACTCATATGTGTATAAGAAAGAGCTTTATATGCTAGAGCAATTGACTATTGAGAGCACATCCCAGCCCAGTCCAGATCAAGTCCACAAGTCTGATATTAGCCCATAGGTCCCATACCAATCTAGAAAATCCTCTTCAGACTCACACAACACATGCAATGACACTGAATGCAGGAAGAACAGAGGCAGTGGATGGATAGTCTTGGGGATCCAGTGGTGGTGGAAGCATCTCAATGCTGGTGTGGGTCTGCATGTGGCTCTTCCAGGTCCAGGGTTCTCACTGCCATCAGCATAGATCCGTGTGTTTGTCAGTAGAGAGTCTCTCATGGAGTGAGCGTATGTTGCCTCCAACGAGCTATTTATCTCCTTCATGTCTCCAAATTAGGTCATCAACCTGTGACCTGATCCACAGGCGAAACTCCACCCCTTCACTGTTAAATTGACAACAGATTATGTAACTACCATGCTGTGCCGGAGTAGGGCTGCTCCCCAGGATCTTCTTGGCTGTGGTCTTTATAAGGGTAGAGTTCCAGGTCTTTCTCCCTAGGAGTCCGTAAATATACTTAAGCCTCCTACCTTTTGAATACACTTAAGCCTCCTACCTTTTGGCGCGAAGCAAATGCTCAGCTACTGCACCACCAGGGTAACTTCTTTAAAATTTAAATGTTTGTTTTCAGCTGGATTTTATTTGGAATTGTTTTCGTGTTGGAAAAAAAAATAGAATTGTTCAATGGAAGAGGACTTAGATGTTTAGATGTCAGCTGAGCTTTGTGTCATCACTTAGGAAAGCAGCCCCAGGTAATTCAATAACCACCATTGGAATGTGAGTCTCATAACCCCCTTACCAGCACTGTTGGCCTTTTCATGAGACTTAACTACTTTGTTTCTATTTCTGTCTTTATAAAGGCTGAGCCAATGTCAGTGTTGAACCCCAGTGGCACGTTGGGCTGGGTACTGACTACTCCCTGCAAAGTTGGTGGGTCAAAACTCCTTGAGAGAAAGATGAACCTGTATGCTCCCATAAAGACTTACAGTTTTGGAAACCATAATCGTTATACGACAGTGTGCTCTGGAATCAGCTTGATGACAGTGGGTTTTGTTGCTACTGTTGTTGTTAATTATAGTGCTAGCTACATGTTTCTTAAAGTGGTTAAAAAACCCAAAGACAAACTATATATGTTGGTCTAGGGCAAAATAAAAAAAAGTGGAGGGGCCTTTGCTTCATTAATAAAGCTTCAATAAAAATTTTCTCCTCAAATTTTCTGTGAGTGTACTGAGGAAACCAAACCTAGTGGCACTGTATTTTTTGACAGAAAATAATTAAAAGTGTTTGTTATGACATATATAAATACAAGTGGACATAAAATCACTTTCACTTCTTGGCAGATCAGACTTATCTCACCTCAAAGTGAGTTAACTAGTTATGGTATTTGATTTTCCTGCTAATATTTTTTCTTAGCATGAGTGATTAAGAATTTACTATATATGCAGATATACATCTTATTCCTATGAAGGTAACCCAAACTCACTGCTGTCAAGACGAATGATTTATTTATTTTTCTTTTCTTTTTCCCCCTCCCTCCCTCACCCTCATGAACTCTTAATAATTTATACATTTATAATAAATTATTTTTATTTTTATATTTTCCACCATCTGCTATCTCCCTTCACCCACATTTCTGTTGTTTGCCCCCTTTGTGGGGGTGGGGGTGTTGTACATTGATCATTGAGATAGGTACCCCCTTCTCCCCCTCAACTCTGATTTAAAAGAACCCTATAAGACAGAACAGAATTGTTTCTTAGAGTTTCCAAGACTATATCTTTCTATGAAAGCAGATGCCTTCAGAGCAGCTGGTGGTTTTGAACTGTCAGCCTTTCAGTTAGCATCCCAATGCTTTACGTGCTGTGCCAACAGGGTGCTATGTGAAAGTAAAGCCTTGAAAATACTATTGTTCCAAGTGCTGAAGCATGAAATAAATTTTTAAATAAAACTTGATCTAAAATAGTACATCACTTTCCGGAGCTTTGCTTTTTGATAATGCTTTCAGTACAGCTTGGACTTCTTTCAATACCATCTATTCTTGATTACATGCTGCCTCTTGAAATGGTTGAATGCCAACAATTCTTTTTGGTACATGATTCTGTGTATTCCTTCCATTCTCTTTGGATACTTTCTGCATTGTTCAGTCTTTCACCCATGGAATCCATCAATATTTCAACTTGAGACATGAAAGTTTTCTTCAATTCTTTTAGTTTGCAATGTGCTAAATGTATTTTTCCCTTTTGGTTTTCTCATTCCAGCTCTTTGCACATTTGATTACATACTTTGCTTTGTCTTCTTGAGATCCCCTTTCACATTTTCTGTTCAGCTCTTTTATCTTCTTCCACTTGCTTTATTTACTGTATGTTCAAGAGCAAGCGTTAGACTCTCTTCTGACATCCACTTCGACCTTTTCTTTCTTTCCTGTCCTTTTAATGACCTTTTTCTTTCTTAATGTATGATGTGCTCGATGCCATCCACAAATCAGGTTTTCTATCATTGGTGTTCAATGAATTAAACATGTTCTTTAAATCGTCTCTAAATTCAGTTTGGGTATAACCACTGTCTTATTTGGACTCTCATGGACTTGCTTTAATTTTTTTCAGTTTCAACGTGAACTTTCATATGACCAATTTATAGTCTGTTCCATAGTCGGCCCCTGGCCTTATTTTGTCTGACAATGTTAATTTCTCCATTGTTTCTTCCCACCAAACCCAAACCAAACTCACTGCCGTCCAACCACTACTGACTTACAGTCATATGCTGTGGACTTTTGAGACCGTAACTCCATCTGGAGAATTCCAAATGTACAGTTGTTGTTTGTTCTGGGGGAAAAGGTTTTTACAGTGAAGACGTTACTGGGAAGCCACCTGGAAGAGAGCCACAATCGTACCCATTCTAAGGAAAAGTGACCCAACAGAATCTGGAAATTATCAAACAATATCATTAATAGCACATGCAAAAAAGGTTTTGCTGAAGATAATTTAAAATGATTACAGCAGTGCCTCAGCGGGGAGCCTCCAGAAATACAAGCTGAATTCAGAAGAAAACATGGCAAGCGGGATGGCATTGCTGATGTTAGAGGGATCTTCTCAGAGAGCAAAGAATAGCAGACAGAGATCCACCTGTGTTTATTCACTAGATAAAGGCATTTGGCATTTTGGGTAATAGCAAACTGGAGAACATGAAAAAGAATGGGAAATCCCGAACAGTCGATATGCTCAGGTGGAGCCTGTAAATGGTCCAAGAGGCAGTTGCTTGCTGGAACAGAAGACGGGAGTACTGTATGGTTTAAAATAATAAGTTGGTGTCAGGGTTGTCTCCTTTCACCAATCTGTATGTTGAACAAATAATCTGAGAAGCTAGACTATGTTGTTGTGGTTACGTAGATGCCCTTGAGTTGCCTCTTAAGCATGAGTGACCTTATGCACAACAAAATAATGCACCGTCCTGGGCCATCCTCACCATGGTTCCTATTTGACCCCATTGATGCAGCCATTGTGTTAAGCCATCTGGTTGAGGGCTTTTCTCTTTTTCACTGCCTTTCCACCTTACCAAACATGCTATCCTTCTCCAGGGGCTGGTCTCTCCGGACAAGATGTCCAAAGTATATAAGATGAAGTGCTGTTGAGGTCTACCCCGATGGGGCTTTTTCTGTAGACCCATATCGTTGGAAACACCTCATAGACTGACTATGTGGTTTGCTTTACTCACAGAACTGCTATTGGTTGGATGTGTGAGGAAGAGGCTACAAGACAAATATGTAGGGGAAAAAAGATGAAGTCTTGCCATCCTTGTCTTTAAGGAGCACTCTGGCCCTACTTCCCCCAACACAGACCTGTTTGTCCTTTTAGCAGTCCATGGTTGTGGTAGTTACATAATCTGGTGTCAATTTCTGGATTCAGAGTGAAGGGGTGGAGTTTAGCCTGTCAATCAGGTAGTAGCTTGATTGCCTCTCTGCTAAGGAAATAAATAGCTCACTGGAGGCAGGACACATGCTCACTCCCTGAGAGACGTCCGATACACATATGAGTGTCTATGGATTTGTTTCTCTAGTCTACCCAGACTAACACAATGGTACTTTCAACATTCTTCTCTAGCAGCACACTTCACAGGCACCAATTCTTCTTCTTCCTTATTCAATGTCCAACATTCACATGCATACAAGGCAATTGAACATCCTGTACCTTAGTTCTCAAAGCAACATCCTTGCTCTTCAATACTTTAAAGAGGTCTTGTGCAGCAGACGTATTACCTAATGCAATACATCTTTTGGTCTTTTGACTGCTGCTTCCATGAGCATTGATTGTGGATCCAAGCAAGACAAAAATCCTTGACAAAATTTTCTCCATTTATCATGGTGTTGCCTACTGGCGCAGTTGTGAGGACTTTGGTCTTCCTTCATCGAGTTGTAATCCATACTGAAGGTTGAAATTCTTGGTCTTCATCAGCAAATGCTTCAAGTTTTCCTCACTTTCAGTAAACAAGGTAGTGTCATTTGCATATTTCAGGTTGCTAATAAATCTTTATGTTAGACTAAGAGAAACAAATCCAGAGATAGTCATATGTGTGTAAGAGAGAGCTTTATATCAATGAGTAAGTGTATATGAAGAAAACATCCCAGCCCAGTCCAGATCAAGTTCATAAGGCTGATATTAACCTTTAAGTCCGATACAAGTCCATCAATCTCTCTTCAGACGCATGCAGCACATCATGCAAAATGCAGGAAGATCACAGGCCAGTGGGTGCAAAGTCATGAGGATTCAGTGGCAGTGGAAGAATTGCCAGGGATCTCTCACGGGTCAGCGTGGCTCATGTGGCTTGTCAACAAGCAGGTGAAGCAGAGAGAGTGTGTGGTCCGCGTCAAGGGAGAAAGAGAGGAAGTTCCCAGAATCTTCATGAGAAACCCGTGCCCACAAGGAGTTATCATCACGCTGTGTAACCTGATTGATAGGCTAGACTCCACCCCTTTGCTTATTTATCAAGTGGTCATGAAATTATGTAACTACCACAATCTTCCTTTGACCCTGGTGCCACATTCGCTTTCATATAATCCAGCTTTTCATATAATTCCACCATACAGATTGAATAGGTATGGTGAGAGGATACATCCCTAACACACACCTTTCTTGATTTTAAACCACGCAGTATTCCCTTGTTCCGTTCATACCTCCTGTCTGTAAGTTTGTCATACTGTGGTGGCTTGTGTGCTGCGGTGATGCTGGAAGTTTGTCACTGCGATTTCAAATCCTAGCAGGGTCACCCATGGTGAACAGGTTCCCGTGGAGCTTGTAGACTAAGAACAGACAATGAAGAAGGACGTGGTTCCCCACTTAGGAAGAAGGAGCCACTGAAAACCTTATCCTATAGAGGCTAGACTACATGACGAGGAATGTAGCATCAGGATTGGGGAAAACTTATTAAGAATTTTCCAGGTGCAGATGATCGTCATGACCTGGCTTGCTGAAAATGAAGAGGACTTGAAGCACTTGCTGATAAAAATCAAAGACTGCAGCCTTCAGTACAGATGGCAACTCAGTGTAAAGCAAACAAAAATCCATACAACTAGACCAATAGAAAACATCGTGTTAAAAAGACTGATGTTGTCAAGGATATTATTTTACTTAGATCCACAAGCAACGCTCTCAGAAGCAGTAGTCATGAAATCAAATGACATATTCTACTGGGCAAATATCTCTTGAAAATGTTGAAGAACATGGACATCATTTTGAGGAGTAAAGTGTGCCTGCCCCAAGCCATGGTATTTTTCATTGCTTCGCATGCATCTGCAAGTTGGATAATGAATAAGGTAGACCACAGAAGAACTGATGCATTTGAATTCTGGTGCTGGCAAGAAGTATAGAAAGCATGGTGGACTGCCAGGAGAATAAACATATCTGTTTTGGAGGAAGTTCGGCCGATGCTCTTAAGAAGCAAGAATACATACATCTCAATATTTTGGACATGTTATCAGTAGAGACAAGATCTGGAAAAAGACATCAGGATTGGATAAGTACAGAGTCAGATGAAAAGAGGAGGACTCTCAAGGAGATAGGTTGACACAGTAGCTACAACAATGGGCTTGCACAACAAGAAGTATGGGGGTGGCATGGGACTGGTCAATGTTCTTTCTGTTGCACATAGCAACAGTCCCTGGGAGTTGGAACTGACTTGCCAACATCGAACAGCAGTGTATGAAGTTATGTGAAATCAAAATGTGTAGAACATGGATTTTAAAAGATGTGATAATTTAGCTAGCTGAAATGTTAATTTAGTTTTAATTTTTCCCTATTGTTCTTTTAATACCTCTCTGAGGTATAAGCATTTCTCTTGGAAATTCTATTTAAAGATATCAGATTAAAGGCTGTTGGACAATTTTTTAAAATAATATTACTGAAAAAAGGTTCATATGACATTAATTTCTTAAACATCTAAAGAAAACTTGAAATTATAACACAGTCTATCTTTTATCTTTTCTAAACATCTTATAAACAGGGAAATATTTATAAACAATGAGATTTACTTAGAGGAAGCCTGGATATGACATTAAAAATCTCTCACTTATATTCTAACCAGGCTATCAGTGACTCTTAAAGGCAACTTGAACATTATAAAAAAACCAGTCACAGCCCTGACAATTGAGGGCAAGTAGCAGAAGCAAGGATTGTCACTAGGGCAATTTCACATCCATAACTGTTTATTTGTAAAATGTGGATTAAGTTCTCCGGCTAAAGATCTAAAAAACTGGACCATCTCATTATCAGCACAGACCCTTTGCTGACATTCTTTTCATTTTTCTTGGAAGCCACATTAGGCGTATTTTCAGGATGACTGTCATTTTGGTGACTTCATTAGAAGAGGGCCTGTTTGCATCATGGATTAATATTGGACTAATTACAAGGCTGGTAGTCAAAGACCCCGGCTGCTCGGCTGGAGAGAGATGAGCATGGCTGCCTCCATGCCGAGTCACAGTCTCGGGAACTCGGAAGGAGCAGTTCGACTCGGCCCTGTCGGGTGGCTGTGTCAGAGCTGCCTCCGTGCACCGGGCTTGGTTTGGGTTTCTGACTTGGCTGAGTGAGCGGGAAGATGACTTGTTCTCTGCAGTTTGTACACATGATAATTTCATGAAGTTTACTGTATTAGTTATTCCACGTTTGTTTTATGTATTTCAATTATTTGCATAATGTATGTTGATCTCCCAGTGATTGTATCACAATAGGGGTGCTTTAAAAAATGGACTGCATGATAAATAATAATGCTAATTAATTATATAATCCCCC